GGAGGCTTTGAGAAAGCGTCTCATCTTGATCCTGCTCAGGATTCTTTACAAATGAGGATGTGACTTGAAGTGTCAGTGACCTCACATACCAGTACATTTCAGTGTCTATCATGAAGCTGCTGTTAAGAATTTACTGTATTCAGTTACCTGTTGCTATATGCTTAGGGAACATGCACACTTGAGAATTTTTGAACTATGTATTAATTACATGCCATTAGTTACTCTTCCTGGTGCTTGGTGGTATGTGTTTGCCAGTGTGCTCTTGTGTTTGGGGAGACAGCACTACTCAATTTCTCTGTACCTTTTCTGTATGAATACAGTGGAATTGTCTTTTAACTATGTAGCTAAAGGCTGTCGTGTTTGTTTCTGTGAACAATTCCAGGCTACCCAGTATCTATATTTACTGTAAGGATGTCAAATTAGTTTTTGTTGTTGTTTGCTGGTTGAGACAGGGTCTCACTATTAGTTCAGGCTGACCTTGAACTCACTATGTAGCTCAGAGTGGCCTCAGACTCACAGGAGATCCTTCTGCCTCAGCCTGCCAGGCGCTGGGATTACAGGCGTGCCCAGCTATAATGTCAGATTAAAATCAAAAGGAAACAAGCTGAATTTACAAAACAGTTGCTCAATTTGTTCCAAATTATTAAGAAGAAACATGGCTTGCCATCTACCGTCCATAAAGTGAAATGTGCTTTGTTTTGTGGGCTTCTCAAATTTTTAAACTACTTGTTTGGTTCTTGCCATATAATTTTTAAAATGTACATTTAGGGGGTCTGTGTACCTTGTGAGAGTCATTTGTGAACAACTGACAGGTTCTCTTTCTTTTTAGGACTCATAAATGACTTTAGTAGCAGGGAGCAGAGCTCTATCAGAGCTCCCGGATCTCCCAAGGACTGATTCTCTTTCACAAGCTGTCTGCTGATAGTACCGCCTTGCTGCCATCACCTCTGTGGGTGTCCTCAGCCTCTGCATTGGCTTTCAATTCCAAAACACACAGGGGCTTCCCTTCTCTCTGCATGGCTCTGTGCCATCGGAAGGGACCTGTGAGTAAAAGCTTGTCTTTGGTCAACCCCGCAGCTTGAATGACTGTGTTAAAGCAGAGACGGGGAGTCCCATTCACCTTCCTTTGTGTCGCTGAAGAACAACAGCAGTGACACTGGAGAGGATGCTTCACATCATGAGTTCCCCACAAGGCTGCATGGTATCCTCGAAAGAGCCCTCTGAAATGTCATTTCCACTTTCAAAAGACAAAACTGAGGCTTAGCGGTGGCCAGCAACTTGTTCCAATCTATTTCGCAGTAAAGGGCACTCACTGCCAGCTCTGAAAGTCAGGTTTTGCTTCCTTCCTCTACACCTGAGCCGATTCAGCCTGTTGTTCATTTGTATTATGCTGCATTCACTTGGGTGATGATTCTTCATAATGTTAGATAGAATTGTTTTCCTCAGTGTCCTGAGTTTGTAAAGCTGCAGCCTTTAATCTCTCCAGAGACAATGCACAGGAGGGAGGCCCTTTACATAAGGTGCTAGCCTACCCAGAGGAAGCTAGGGAAACTTTCCTCCCAGGAGGTAATTAATTCCTATTGGCCTAACAGTCCATGTAGCACTACCGGTCATTAGGAGGCTCCATGAAAAGGTGTCTGCTCTTTTGTTCCCAAAAGCTTTTATTCTCCCCACCCTCCTAGGTCAGCTACTTAAGATCTGTGCTTTCAAGCTGGGGAAGACCTGAGCATATGTAAATGAACTGAAAATCCATAGCTAGCCCAGAAGAAAAACAAACGTTAAGATTATCATTATTTATGAGCTCAATGATCTGGTAACTAAATCAGTGTAATAATGATAATAGTAAAAGGGGACAAGAAGTCATGCAGTTTAGGAAACCAAATTAATTTATCAGGCTTCTGGCTCAGGAAAGAGGAAGAAGACTAAGATAAAAGAACTTTAGGACACAGGGACTGTGCTCTGCCTTTGACACTGCCTTAGTTAAGACATTGAACTCCTACCACCCAGATGCCTGTGCTAAGGAGGCTATAAGACCAGAGCCATTCAAGCGCAGGGGTCTTCCTTCCGGGGACATGGTTAACCAGAACCTCGGCAGCCCTTTCTCATTATCCCAGTAAAACAACTGACTCAAAACTTGGACCCCCTGGCACTTGAAAAATGAAGTCCAGATGACAAAGAGAGGATATGGGATTTAAACAGGATTATTTTATTAAATCCTCAGAACTGAGGGGGCTGGCCACTGGCAGCCAGCAGGTACTCAGGTGGTGGAGGATGGACTGACGGATGGGCAGGCCTTCCTCGGTGGTGGTTAAGGACTTGGTAGCTCAGGAGCCTGGAGGCTGAGTCCTGGTACCCCCATTAGCATTACGACCTAGTGGAGTTACAAGCTTCAGTTCTTCCTATGTAAAACGGAGTGTTGCTTCTCATGGTTGTTAGGAGGACTACATGAGAAAACGCCTACCACATAAGCAGTAGGTAATAAGCAGCACCTATTATTAGTATCAATATTGTGCCCATAGCCTCCACTCCACAGACTTCTCTTAAGCACAGGACCCTCCAGAGCGGGAAGAAGTCTGTGAAGTCTCCTAAACCCTTTGGATAAACCCCTCTCCATCTCCTCCCTGGGCAGCAGGGAGAAACCATCCTAGATCTGAGCACTACACCTAGGAAGGTGCAGGGCTTGGCACCTACCTACAGGCAGCTGCACTGTAGTGGTGGCACCAGCAGCTGGAAAAGGAAGTGGAAGTCAGAGGCTAGGGTGAGATGTGAGTACTCAGGGCAGTCTACACGCTTCCCAGCGAAGTCCAAGCCTTTTCTAAATCACCATGCCAGACACGGTCCCCGACTCATGTCATTCAAGGGCTCTCAACACATTATCATGGAAGATAAACGGGTGCAGGAGGGAAGTGTCAGTGCCCATGTGAACCTGTTAGTATTTTTTGGAAGCCAGCCTCTAGGGAGCAGGCAAAAAATGATCACTCAGCTACAGAAACAAATGCAGCATTGAGAAACATTGAGCAGAACTGAATTTCTGTAAGGTAAGGTTACTAGGATGGCCCACCAAAAGGGGAGAAGACAAGCAGTCTAGGTAACAAAAGCTCATTGGTTGCTAACAGTTTTTTTTCAAAAGCAAACATAACCCTTCCTTCAGGCATAAGATACTGCAGAACCAGGACAAAGGAAGACTTCTCACTGCAAGGTTTGGGTGGTCCCAGGCCAAGTTTCCCACTGGCAGGCAGGGGAAGAGGGCTTCTGGCAGGCAGTTCCTTTGAAAAAAATAAATGTTTTGGCTTAATGCTCGAGATTCAAAGGGGCAAAAATGATCTTCAAAAAATAATAAATAGCCACTCCCCCATTCATCTCCAAGACAGCAGAGTATCCACAGTCTTGAATGTAACACACCACTTCATGCCTCCTATAGCTCTCGCCTCCTTTTTAAAAAGGTTCCTTTGGCCAAAAATGCAGTCAAAACATGGACCCTACCAAGAGAAACGAGAAAACCTCAACTGCAAATCAGCAGGACACTGCCTCCGGAATACCACGCCAGCCAGCGAGAGTACTGAGTACGAAACTCCTCTTTAATTATATTTTGCTTAAAAATTCTTTAGGAAGTGTAAGGGCAATTCTCTATGCTTTTATGCCCTGCAAATTCTCCAGGTCGGAGACCAACCACAGGCGTTATAAGCCTCGTTAGTGACCACTAGAGAGGGAAACATCTAATTACAAAGTGACTTTGATGGCCTGTGTCCCTAGATGCTCCAGCATGAGTGCTTTGCCAAAAACTGCGCTGCCGTCTCCAGAGCTGAACGCGGGATGAGCAGTTAAATACTCCCAACGGTCTGGATCGGGCATTTGACCTTCTCCCCGGGTCCCCAGCATCCAAGGAAGCCTGTGAGCTGGAATGCGGCCCCTAGAAGCAAGTATACACCCACGTGCACAAGTGTTGGATTCACTTCAGCAACTCTCCAGCTTGTCTTTAAATATTGGGGGAGCACGCTGGAGAAATGCATTTTAAAAAATGCACTGCCTCTCCTTTCTCTGCCTGTCTTCTATTTGTTCGTGGGATTTTTCTCCTTTCTTGCTGGGACTATAATGCCACCTGCAGTGAAACGAGTGAAGGAGACAGATCGTTGATGATGGATAGGAGCAAAGGCCGTGCCTTAAAATAATGGGGAGCCGGCTTCCCCTGCCCGAACGCCAGGGCCCCCTCCCTCTTCCAGGTGAGATGACTGTGTCCTTCATTATCTTCCGCCGCGAACGCAGGTCACCGGAGGAGAATGTCTTCGGGTCGGGCGCAGCTCACCAGGGCTCCCGGGGTCACCTGCCAGGCCCCCCTCGGTATCTCGGGACGGAAGCAGGACCGTGTGACTTTGACACCGGGGAGAACAGAACTGCCCGGAATCCCGCCGCCCGGGCGGACGTTGGCCGCGCGGTTTCTGCTGCCCACCGCTGGAAGGCGCGCACCGAGAGCCGCAGAGCCCGCGACCGCGCGGGGCCTCGGGTTCCGACCGTTGGCGCAGGGGGCGGGCCCAGCGGGTGCAGCCCCCCAGCTCCCCGAGGTTACCCAGGAAGCACCCAGATTCCAAGGCTTTAAAGGCTCGGAGAGCTCCGTTTAGGAAAGAATCCGAAGGCGGCCCGGGCGCGCGCACCTGGCGGAGTAAAAGCGAACTCTGGAGTAAGCCGAGGTCTCCGCGGGCGTCGGCTGGCCTCCGAAATCTCGCCCGAGGGCGGGGACTTCGTCATCCAGTGTCCGGCGGCGGCTGCTGAGAGGCCCGCGGAGCCTGGTCTCCAGGGCGGGTCGGAACCCCGGCGGGAGCGCGAGCCGGCGTGGAACCCCGGCGGCTTCCTTCCACGGCGCGCACGGCCCACGGCCTCCGCGGAGCTCGGCGCCGTCTGCAGGCGCCCAATGGGCGACGCGCCGGGTGCGTGACGGCCCCGACCCCGCCCCCGTGACGGCAATAAAACCCGAGGCAGGCGGCCCCGGGCCTGCCGCGCGGCTCTGCGCCCGCACGCTTCTCCAGGGCGCTCCCTTGCGGCTCCGGCGAGCGCGTCCCTCGGCGCCAGTGGCAGCCGCTCCTCTTTCCCCGGTCCCCTTTCCTGCTATCTCCGGGTTCCGCCGTCTCCGTACCCCGCGGTGCGGGGCCCTGGCCTGCAGGTGAGAAGAGGCGCCCACCGCTGACCTCCGAGCTCACTTTGCAGCCGGGCTCGGGGCAGCGCGGCGACCCCGCTCCGGAGCGCCTCTGTGCCCCGCAGGATGAAGAACCCGATGCTGGAGGCGGTGTCCTTACTGCTGGAGAAGCTGCTCTTCATCTCCAATTTAAAACTTTTCAGCCTGGGCTCCCCGGACGGAGACAAAAGGAGCAACCGATTCTACGAGGTCAGTTCTTTCCTCCGCGGTGACGTGCTGGAGGTGCCCCGGACCCACCTGACCCACTACGGCATCTACCTGGGCAACAACCGTGTCGCCCACCTAATGCCTGACATTTTGCTGGCCCTGCCCGCCAACAAGAAGCGCACCCAGAAAGTGGTGTCTAACAAGCGTCTCATCTTGGGCGTCATCGTCAAAGTGGCCAGCATCCGCGTGGACACAGTGGAGGACTTCGCCTACGGAGCCGACGTCCTGGTCAATCACCTGGACGAGTCCCTCCAGAAGAAGGCGCTGCTCAATGAGGAGGTGGCGCAGAGGGCGGAGGAGCGGCTGGGCTTGTGCCCCTACAGCCTGCTGTGGAACAATTGTGAGCACTTTGTGACCTACTGCAGATATGGCACCGCGGTCAGCCCCCAGGCCGACAAGGTACCACTCCTGGGTCCGGAGGCGGTGGGTTCGGTGGGGACACCCCTTTCAGCCCCTGATGTGTTCCTTGGGAGCGAGAGATTTTCCTCTTGGACACCTTCCACACCACTTCCGTGCAATTCTCACAAGTTCTGATGTAACTAAGGGAGGCCAAGTAGGTCAATAAAAGGCGATGTACTTTACAGGGTTATCTCTAAATGCACCGCGAAAGGGTGCGGCTGTGCAGGGTGGCCTCCTGTGATTCCACAGCTGCCCAGTTATTGCTGCAGAAGTCATCAGGAATCCACACACGACCAGTGCAGATGACAAAGGGCAGGAAATCTGCGGCAGTGTGCCTGCGACTCTTCCCAAGAACTGCAATTAGAAAGAAGATGTTCATTGTTTTTATTTAATCGTTAATATTTTTTAAAGTGTGCCTTTAAAGTGGGAAAATATACTGCTTTCTCCCCCCTGTAAACTGCATAGCGTGAGTTCCCTTTGTTAGTCTAAACTATCAAAATTCCCCGTAGGCAGACAGCTCCAGTACATCCCCTCTTCCCTGGTCTGCTTTGGAGAGGCCTTTGCCTTGACATCTGAGTTCTTTTCTAGGCTGGCTTTCATTCCATAGTGATTTCCTTGGGAAGCACCCTTTACCCATTTTCCCCAGCGATAGGTTAGACTGTAAGGTCCTCAGAGACCAAAACTATTGATTTGCAAGAAGGACCCTGAACCGTTAGAAGGTAATTTTTAAGAGTTCTTAGAAAAAGAAAGTATTAAAATTCTAAGGTTCTTAAATGAGCTACAAATACAAAGAGAAAAAAAAGGTTCTTGCGTTTTGAAGCCTCTTCATCTTTAAAAAGTGAACCTGTTAAGCTCGCAACTCCGTTTGCAACTGGAAACTTTTGAAACCTTCAATATAGCTTTTAAAAAAGTGTTAATATTCATGTTTCCTAATGGAAACCAGGGTAATCACACAGTGAGCTTTACTGTTGCTTTTCATGATTAGATAGTTTTTGGGCAAAAATTATGAGTCCATATAGTCATGTTTTACATCTTAGATTTTAATTACTGCACGTCTTGACTCATTTTTTGACCTATATGGGAAAAATCTTCCTCCTCCATGGTAGAGCATGCAAGTATTATGTTTTTATTCATTGGTACATGAAACTTCATATACATTTTTATAGAGGCAAAATAGACTCAATTTGTGAATTCTTTTCCAAGCAAAATACAAATACAGTTAGAGCATTGTGCAGAGACTCAAGAATTACAGCCCAAACCCAAGCCTGTTTAGAAAGGAACTCCCTCACATTAACAAACTCTGCCTCTAGAAGTGTACAAAAGGAAACACTTCAGATTTACTTAGGAACCAAGCAAATTATTTCTCTGCGGAAAAAAGTTTTTCTCTGCAGTAATTAGGAGTTACCCCATACTGAAACACATGTAGTGCTGTATTATATATTTCTACCAAAAAAACACTACGAGTGCTTTTGAAAGATAGTAAAACACTTAATTTTCACTAATAACTAATTAAAGTTTTCCATACGTGGAAACTTTGTTGGATTTTACATCAGGGAAGTGTTTTAATTATTACTGCTACGTAGCACCTCTTGAGAAGCTGAGTTTTTGTCTCACTTTGATTGGTCTAACAAACAAACTGGCCCCAGACTAGATTTCCAGAGTGGGGAAAGTCTCCATCCTAAATTTTCTAATTGTAAGAACTGCTTTTTTGAACATGTCCTGAGAGAAGTAGGTCATGAATCCTGAAGGACAGTTTCTACTTTTCAGAGTGCAGTGTTGGATCTGATCGGACTCCTGTGATCTCTGTATCAATAGCTACTGCCATCTTAAAAGTTACAAAACCTCTCAAGTTACAATGCTTCTCTCAGGAAAACCTCACACTTGGTTTGAAAAGGATTTGGAAAAGAACCTTTTATTCTTTGCAATAATGCTCCCTCTCTCTTTTTTTCTTACAGGTTTAAAATGTTAAGAGATTTTTATATTGTCTTTTGTATTTTGTAAATTATGAATCCCTTTTGACACAATGGCTATTTTTGTGCACTTTTTCTACTACAGTTTTTTCTTTTCTCTGACTTTGCTCATATTGCTTTTTGTTGCCAAAATGAATTCCAGTCCCTCTTTATTTTTGGGGAGTTCAGTGCTCACAAGACACCTGGAACTGTCCCACATCTAGAAATGCCTCCTAGGCAGATGGCCAGCTGAACAAGAAAGGGACGTTAGGAAGAAAAGCTTCCTAAGGAAAGCTTTTTAGCGAAGGAGGAGAGTCCAATAAGAATGATTCTTACTTTGCCTTCATTATGAAATAATCCGAGAGAAGGTAAAATACGCACAGCTACATCAGGACAACTCACTCATCTACCTGGATGCACCGCTGCCCTGAAAACTTCACTTAGTTTGATAATCATTGCTCCCAGGATGGGTATTTGTTCCTTGGTGTCTTATTAGTTTAGGAGACAAATCAGATATCTGTGCTATAAACAGACCAATATTTGGATAACTGACTGTTTCACACTTGTGCTTCACACTTGTTTGTGCTAAAGCATGAATACAGATGACCGAACAGTGAAATCTGTGTGGTTAAATGAGTCATGCAACCTTTAATGGCATTTCATAAGAAATGGAATTTTAGGCAATCCCACTGTTAAGGGAACATCATCATAGAATGAATCTACACTGACGACAATCTTCTGGGCTTATCATTTCATGTATTTCAGTTGTTTACTACAGTGTCATTACAAGCCACACAACTATATTGAATTTGTTTATTTTATCTAGTAAGAATTTAGAAACCTCAGCTGAGTGAGAGGCTGAGGCAGGAAGACCACTGAGTAGTTCAGGGTCTGCCTGGACAACATAGTGAAGCCTCATCTCTTCAAAGGGAAGAGGAGTGGAGAAGAGGGGAGAGGAGAGGAGAGGAGAGGACAGGAGGGGAGGGGAGAGGACAGAAGAGGAGAGGACAGGAGGAGAGAGCAGAGGAGGAGAGGAAGAGAGGAGAGGACAGGACAGGACAGGACAGGAAAGTTGCAAAATTACCTTTCAGTACTGCATATATAATTGTAGGAAACCCTAAAAGCATATACAATTCAGTGTGCTAGAAAAGCTGTTTAAATGTAGTGTGAATAGCAAAATTCATATAAAAATGGCAATTGATGTAAATTTTTGCAGCGAAGGTAACTGAGGTAGAGATAACTGTCAACACATCGAACAATGACAAGGACCTCAGTGCCTTATGTTTATGCAGCATGTAGACTACAAAGCAGGCTTCTGCATAAAAGACCTCACTGGCTCTTCACGAACGCCTCAGAATTACATGAGGGTAGCCCGAGGAGGCCTTGCAAGGGGCTTAGTTGAGGTCACATAGTCAAGAGAGATGGATCCGGGACACTCAAACGGGACCTGTCCCTTTCAAGTTAAAGTTATTTTACTAAGAAAAAGTTACGCCGAAGAATGCCTTTGTCAGGGGTAAAAAGATATTTATCTTTTTTGTCCAGTAGCCAATTATGTGTCTCAAAATTGAAAGTGATTTCATTTAGATGGGAATAGGATATGACCACATCTAATTCATTTAGATGGGAATAGGATATGACCACAAAGCAAAACTGATGCCATACTTTTAGAATTTTGAGAATTATACAAAAGGTATCATTGTTATCACCAGTTTTTAGAACGATAAGGTAGAAGAATTGAGTTCACCAATAATCAGAGGCTAAATTCCATTTTTGCAATTCAAGATTAGAGACCCATTTTATATATAATTTTAGAATAGGCTATTGGGGTAGCTAATTTAACGGTATGTATGCATGTATGTATTTATTTGTCTTTTGAGACAAAGTTTCATTATGTAGTTCAGGCTGGCTGTGAACTCACTTTGTAGCCTAGGCTAGTCTCTCTCGGATTGACAGCGATCTGGTCTTCCTGCTTTAGTTTCTCAAGGGCTGGGATTGCAGGCATGTACCACCACACCTGGCCTTCAGGTTGTTTTTAACTTTAATCCTAAATAACTTTTATGTGGTTACATCCCACCATTGTCCGTAAAATTCTGTATTTACAAAGGTAACTGCCCTTATTAACCTCATTACCTAAAACATCATTTCAGGTGCTATGGGACCTAGAATCAAGAAGCTGGACTCAGAAAACCTTCCTAACAGACAGAAAATAACTAAGAAAACTGTTTTGCTGTTTGCTCTGTGTGGTTCTTTTTAGGTTCATTCAGCTTTCCTAATATTCTTAACTTTTGTCTTCCAGTTTTGTGAGTACGTGAAGATAATTATTCGTGATCAGAGAAGTGTTCTTGCCTCAGCCGTCTTAGGACTGGTGTCCATAGTCTGCATGGGTCTGGCATCGTTTGTTACCTTTCCTGCAATTCTTATACCCTTCTGCTTATGGATGTCTGGGTAACTCATCTACCCATGTCAACGTGTTCGCATTCTATGTACAAATGTGTTTATATTTATAGAGCACAAATCACTATAAATATTGCTGAGAAAAATGTGACCTGTAAACTGTGTTCTGAATAATAATGTGGTTAAAAATCACATAAAGTGCTTACCATGTAAGACCAAGAACAAAAGATTTCTAATCTCATCAAACACCCTTCAGCCCTCAGAAACGTGACAACTTGTGACAGAATTCAGCAATATAGGACAATCACGTGAGGTGGTAGCCATAGGAAATTTATTTGTGTATTTTTAATTTTCTTTCCCTGTAATCATTCTTCCGTATTCTATCAGGCCCAGATTTGAAGATTGCAAGACTTAATAAGATTGCTCACTTTATTGTAAGTTTATTTTGCTTTATTGAAAGACATATTAAACCAAAAACATTTTCCTCATTCAGATGAAAACATGTTGGATTAGCAAAACCAAAACAAAAGTAAAAAAAAATTACCAAAACTCAATTTGTTTTTTTCACATATCACCTGTACTCCCCAGTAAATCAAGAATATTGTATTTTCATTATATGAAACTAATATTGGCAAAGTTAAGGTTTGATGAAAAAGTAACTGACCAGAAAGTGTAGAAATCTGTGCTTTCCTGCAGCAATCACTACTATTGTGTATCTAGTCACTATTTATATTTGAACATTATACTTACAAGGAGACCTGGCATTTGTTAATTTTTTGCCTTTTATGCACCCTTTTGGCTAAAACACTGAGGAATAAATGGATATAGGACTGAAGTACTTTGAGTATCTGCTGTACATGGGTGTATCAAATGAATATGCAGATACTCACATCCACATAGGTTGAAAGACAAATTAAGTTTGATTTTCCTCGCTTTATTTTACTAGTACGATTATTACAGAGCATGCCTTGAAGTGAATATAAACACAAGTCCCATCTGTTTTCTTGTTCCTTGTCATCCGCAGATATATGTCATTGCAAGGGTTACATTTAAAGTGTTTACTAATGCCCTGCATAATTTCTTAAAGCCCTTACATTTGCTTTGTGGTCAGCTTTCTGCATTTCGTTTATGGACATAGCTTATGTGTTTAGTAGGATGGATACTACAATAGCAGTGTCTGAAACCCAAATGAGTAGGAACCAAAAGAAATTGCTGTTTTTATGTGTGTTAGTCCTGCCAAGTTGATTTCACTGTGGCTGTTAAGATACAAGAGTTGAGAGGCAGCAGTGATAAAACAAGCTATCCAGTACTTCTGTCAAATTACTAAATTCTGAAAATTAAGCCACAAGCTAGACTTGCATTTTGACCATTAAAAATGTTTTAGTAACAGAATCATGAAACAGTCATATGAGTGGTATTGAGAGGGTGAGGTCTAGCAGCCAGTGATCTGATCAGAGCAAATTTAAAGAGCAGATTTTAGTTAGCCTAGGTTTATCACAACAAATTCAGTGGCAGTGTGATAATAATTAAACTTTGCCTTCACTTATTCAGCTTACATATTTATTTAAATAGCCTAAATAACTGAAGCATTGAATGGCATCACCAAAGAATACAGATGCTCTATGGCCCTACTTCTGCTGTCTAAAATTACGTAGAATCTAGATTGGATTTGTAAAAGCAACCACTGTGAGAAGTGCTGTGCTCTGGAAGCCTGAGGCGGGAGGACTCAAGTTCAAGCCTAAGGTGGGCAACTTAGTGACTTAGAAGATCCTGTCTCAAAATAAAAATGGAAAAGAAACAGTAGGAACGTAACTCAGTGTGAAGGCCTAGAGTTCAGTCCCTGGTGGTGCATGTGGGTGTGCACACGTGCATGAGGGAGCACACACAAAAATACACTCGCAAAAGAGAATCATTGTGTTAGTGATTTTTCACTTCTACTTGTAGCAATTGTTTAAATAAATTCTTTTTTTTTTTTTTTTTTGGTAGTAGGGATCAAACTCAGGACCTTGCTTTTGCCAGGCAGGCACTTAGCTATATCCCTGGCCTGAGCTATATTCTGGGCATCATTTCTTAAATGCAGGGTTCTTATAAATAATTAACTTTTTTGCATCTTTAGTATTGCAGTCAGAAAAAATAAAGGCTCCCCAAAACTCTTGAAATGAAGCCTGTGTCCAAAGATTATAGTATCTCATTAAATGTCAAGAAAATTCTTAGGGTTATAGTGAACAAAGATCGGTTCATCATTTGAGTGGTCCTGCTTTGCTAGCCACTAACTGGCTGCAATTTCATGCTTTAGAATTAGTACTGGTTTTTTTTGCTTGGCTACAGTACAGCGTATATACACACAGGAATAGAAGGGAAGGAGCAGGTGAGTCTGCCTGAAGGGCTGCAGACGTGGTACTTGAAGGAAGTGTGGAGCTGGGAAATAGCACAATACTGCATGGTGTGCTCACCTGGATGTGGGAAAGGGAAGCAGGCACAAACTTTTACTCACTGAACACCAGAGTGTAGGGTAAATGGTGGATTTTCTTGTGATCAGATTGATTAATTGCTTACAAGGTAGAAAGAAGCACCCCTCCCTGACTGTAGTTATGAAGAAACCCCTTGTAAGATACGGGTACCCCAACTTGAGGCAGTTGGTAGATTTCTCTGGACGTCATCAGTTAAGTTTCATCCTTAGGGTCCTGCAAATCTCTTATCTCTTCGTATTTCTCTTCTAACTTGTGCAGTGATAACCAAGGAATGTCTGCCAAAGCTTTTGTTGCTTTTTTAATTTTTCTCTGTAGTTGCAGGCTGAAAGGACCAGCTGGGCTAAGATGAGTTATGCAGGTGTGAAGTGTCAGGTGTTGGGCAGGTGTTAGGGATGGACAAAGGTATGAGATGTGAACCTCTTCCTTTGGGCTCAGGACCAAGGAGACAGATCTGTTACAACCTTCTGCAGTTAACATCTGAACTGAGCATGGTTAGTTATTAACTGATCTGCCGAAATTATCTGGACTGTGTACTGAGGCTTGAAAGGTGGGGGTGTATTCTCTAGGAGACAGATTTGGGGCAGGATATTCCATGCACTGGGGTTGGCATGGGCAAAGCATGAAACTCCACATAACCTACATAGCCAATGAGGTGCTCCACTACAGGAGGCTGCCAAGGACATTCAGGAAATGCATGGGGCTCAAGGGCCAGAGCACCGCAAGGTTGTGAGCAGAGATGAGAATAAAGTCAAAGTGGTGCAACTCCCTGTAGACCGTGTGATCTGGACTCTGAACAGGCAGTAGAGATTTGTGATACAATAAAGTGACTCTGAAAAACTATAGTGGAAGGATAAGGGGACCCTGGGGCAAGGCTGGATCAAAGGACCAATTCAAAGACTTACTTAAGATCCTCAATCTTCAAATAAGGGTCGCTAATTGTGATGGTAGAAAGCAGACACATTAAAGAAGTACCAATAGACTGTAGCCACATGCATTCATTGGACTCATGATTAATTCTGGGTGGGATGTTAGAGAAGAGTCTTGCATGCTTTGTTCCTACAAACCGTTGATTTTTGCAAAGTAAATTAACTTGATGGTTATATGTATTGGTTGCCCCTCATCTCTGCTCTGCTAGATAGGTTTTTTCCTAAGGGCAAGCAAGTGTGGATTTATTTAAAAATTGTCTTCAGAATACAGACGCAGTACCTTTATTCCTTTTCATATTGTTAATGTCAAGTATCACAAAATGTTTTCCTACAGCAAGTTCTAGCAATGGCAAAAGTCTTTTGTTATAGATGAGAAGCCCATGAGGAATGGTGGCCAATCTTTGTCTCACATGAATGATCTCATTAGAGAGTTTTACCCTGCCTTGATTGTCAGCTAAACTAATTACATATTTGATAAATATGTGTGTTGAATAAAACCAGTTTTACATATTGTTCTCTCTCGTCTTTGAATTTGAAATACAGAAAAGTAGATCACAAATACTTTTTGACCATGGTAGCCTGAATAATATCACCTTTCCGAGTTTCCTTTACTGTTTCTTAAAAATAGTTTCCTATGTTTGAAACTAAAACTTTCTATGAATCTGTCTTTTGCCTGATAGAGTTAAGACTTTATCATTGTGTAATGAAAAGAAAATACTGAACTTATAAATACAAATGAGTTAGGTTTTTTGCATTTATATTTTAACCAATATGGTAACTGTTTACAGTCAGGGATATGCAAGGTAAACAGGCTAAGTGTCTTGATCAGGATCTGTAGTCAGCAATGTAATGTTAGGTAGGACTTGAGCCTGGGTATTTTTATTCCAAATGCCGCAGTCTATGTACTGCCCTATTTGTGACCAACCAAGTAAAGAGAATCATTAATTTCTTTCTAAAGTCACACTGCTATATTTAGCCAATAGTCATTGGGCATAAAGAGGCAACGTATTACTTGACTAATTTTACCTGTGACATTTTGGCTACCAATTTTAAGTTCCATAAATTGTAAGAGATAAGATCTTCATTTCTCATGCAGAGGGTGGTGGTGGTGTGGAAGGATGAGACATTCCCTGACCCAGGAACCTGAAAAGCAAGACACAACTGATGTCTGGTTTGAGTTTTGTGTCCGCTGTGGGCTGAATGTTTACACCGCTCCACCCCATGTTCAATACCTAATTCTTAATGTGATGACATTTGGAAATGTAAGTGACTTTAGTGACATCATGCAGGTGGTGTCTGTTATGATGAGATTAGATTCCTAATCACAAGTGAAGGAGGCCAGAGCATTCCCCCCTCTCTCCCTCTCCTCTGTTCTCCTCCAACCTTTCCTCCCCCCCCTCCCTTTTTCCTCCCTCACTCTTTCCCTCTGTCTCTTCCTCCCTTCTCCAGTGCAAATGCTGCAGTCTTCAAGCCAGCAAGAGTCCTATTAGGAAGGCAATTTGTACAGAACCAGATCTTGTCTTTCCAGTCTCTGGGACAGTAAGAAATAAAACATGGTTTTTGTCGCCTACACTGACTGAGCATCTGTGCAGGTTGTGCCCAGGTATCCTGGGTACCGCTGTGCTCAGCAGTCCACTGGTGAGGACCGTGTGGGGTTCATGACCTAGGGCTATGGGGAAGAAATGACAGTGAAATGCTGCTTCCGGGGCTGGGGATTTAGCTCAGCGGCATAAGCGCCTGCCTTGCAAGCAGGCAGTCATGAGTGGATCCCTGGTACCGATAAAAAGGAAAAAGACCAAAAAAAAAAAAAAAAAAAAATGCTGCTTCTACAGCAACTTCCTTTTAGGAAGTAGCATTGCATCAGATGTTAAGTAAAAACAAAAGCCCATAGTCCAATGACAGGTACATTCTTCTAACACACAGATCCTTAACCTGCACCTGTTGGTATTTGGCACTTAGGCCCTAGGATGACACCTGAACAATTCACATTCCAAATTACAGCGAGGAACTGGGGAGCTGAGATGTCAGGGTGGCAATTGGGCCAGTTCAGTTTGTCAACAGTGGGGAATGTGCGGTCTCTTTGAGGTCTCCAGGTCCATTACGGTGACAGGCAGGGTTACAAATTAAAAGTCATTAGTCACATTTGTGATGTGTGTCTCAGTTGAAGTCTGTCTTAGCCATTTTTAAAGTGTGAACAGCCTATACTGTCCTACAGTTCTAAACTCCCGCACAGATTTCAGCACTCAAGGGCAAAGAATGCCCTACAGTCCTCAGTGATGCTCTTGGGAAGCCATGGTCAAGTGCAGAGGGTGGAGCTCTCTGAGGACATTAGCACAGGAGGTGGGAAATAGGTCTAAAAGCAAAGTGGAAGACAGGCAGGGAAATCACCAGCATGGTCCTGTTGGAAGACCAGGCAGTCCAGTCTGTGGCTAGAGGGAGAGGCCTCCCTGTTGGGCCTGGTCCCTTTGGATGTCTTTTAAACTCCAGCATGGACCTTTGCAGCAGAGTACAAGAATAGAACAAAACCCGTGTGCCCTCTGCAGGGTGGGGTGGAGGTAGGATGGGAGGAACAAAGGATGAATGGAATCAAGGAAATCCTAACTAAAACATTTAGACTTTTAAGAAGACTGTAGCTCCTAGGAATCAACTGAAGTCCCCAAAGCCATGCATATCAGCACTCCTTTGGTTAGATTTAAACTCCTTCCCGACCAGACCATCATACCCACAATTCCTCAGGACCACTAAAAGTTCATAAACTGGTTTCATTGAGACAGTAGGGAATGGAAACCTGATCCCAAGACAAAGATGAAGGTTGAGCAAACCCAAAGAATTAAAAAAAAGTGTGTATGCCTGTGGAATGGGCCGGTACTCTTCTGAAGGGAGGGTTGATAGGATTATTTCCAAAAGATGAGAAGTATAAAACAAAAGAGGCCTTTATTCTGAGAACATGGAGAGAGATGACTGACACGCCGGCCGCTGAAGTCTGGCGATCTCTCTCACGGACACGTGGCCTGGGGGAATATAAGTAGCCTAAGCTTAGGGCAGTGCCCTAAAGCCATTAGAGATGCACAGGTATTTCATTGGCACACATTTGGTGCCAGGGGCAGATTCCAAAGGGTGGAGGGATATAGGGTTACAGGTAAATCTCTAGGGGTGGGGGAGACAGGAGCTCTCTAATTCCAGCTGAGGCTTTTTCTGGCTACAGTGTCCTTTCAAGGGTCACATTTTCCTGGGCTTTTGTACCCCTTCAATAAAAACTTGTTTCCAGTTCCAAACTATAATGTGCCTCATTCTCTGAGGGCTTGCACTCTATTCTTGGCTAATGTCTACTAAATCTCTGCCTAATTAATCCCTTCCCATGCCTCTTCCTGACGCATCCTGGAAATTCTTTGGCCATGGGAGCCTGCAAATCTGCTACAAAAAGATGTGTCAAGTTCTGTATTTCACCTTCAGGGCCCTCAGACCCAGCCTGGTGAAGGGTCACTTGGAGGATGATTCTAGAAGGGGCTGAGGCAGGCGCAGCTCAAGAGACTGAGCCAGTTCCGAAACAACTCTAGCGGCAATGTGAGATAGGTGGGTGAGCTCTCAGAGTTGGCTTGTTCAGGTCCCGAATACAATTATCGGTGTTTTCAAGGAGTTTGTAAGTGTCAAGTACTAGTTCATTCGGCACTCATAAAGTCGAAAGAAAGGATCTGAAGGAATTTAACTTCACTTTTCCCTAGAGTTGCCAGTCAGAGGAAGGAAGATTATTCATTTCTAGCTCCTTCATTTTTCATTACATCCGAACATCCAACTCTTCATTCTTTTCTTTCTGTTTTATCTGTCACCTCCCCACACATTTATACTGAGCCCTGGGCTGCAAGGCCGACGCTGCCCTGCCTGTATTCACTCTGGATGTGGAGAGTGAGCCGCAGGAGCTTCCTCTCAGCAGGCGGCAGAGCAGAGCTTTGCCTGTCCCTTGCTTCCTCCCCGCTGGCACCCTGGAGATGCCATTCAGGAAGTGTTTCCCTGCATGAACAAGGCACCTAAGCGTGCATTGCAAATGTCTCTCCAACCCTTGGCTAATCTCTACAAACAGCCACAACTCAAATGCCAAATCCCCAAACTTAGGACCTGCTCCCAGTTTGAGGTACAGTTTTTTTTCTGTCTTCCCAAATTTCTTATGTTGCCCAGATGGCTCATTTTAAAAAGGATATGGTCAGGATCTATTTGATGTGGATTCAGAGACCCTAACCCTGTTTTAGGGAGGCTGCCCCATTGCTGTGATCCACTGGGGGCATAGTGAGCACAATACTGAGTAACCCTCCTAGCCAGCCTCCCTCCCTCCCTCCCTCCCTCCCTCCTTCCTTCCTTCCTTCCTTTTTCTTCAGTGCAAAGGCCCCCAGCATGGTGCTGGCCTTTCTTTCCTTTTCTTTGATTTTCTTTGCCTTTGTCTTTCCACTTCTCTTTTCTCCCTCCCTCCTTCCCTTCCTTGCAGTACTGAGGCAGTAGGTTTGCAGTGGCAAAGAGGCTGGAAAATCAGGCACGGTCTGTCAGTTGCAGAGACCTGTCCATCACAGCCAGAACACATGGCAGAGCCCTGTGTGCCACGACCCCGATCTGACATCAGATGGAGGACACAAAAGATTAGGTAGCCCCTGGCCACGCGGATCACTGGCCTCTGACTTACTCTCTCATCCTGTGTGCAGGGTGTGTTTTCTCTTTTCTTGTCTTTAGGGCTCTTCTTTAGAGTACAGTACTTTTTCCTTCCTCTTTCACCGTGATTAAATGTTAAGCTTTTATGTTACTTGGTGCACCTGGTTCTTTGACCAGGACCGTAAGATCCCGCAGAGTACCACTGCTTACTGCGATCCCCGGGACGTGCAGTAACAGACTTGGCGAAGCTGGTCAGAAGGCCAGAAGGCGAGGCCCTCTCAGCACAGGGTTTCTGCAGTGCATGGACTCAAGCTGAGAAGGGCTGGTTTCGCCTTCCTGACCCTTCTCTCTCTCTCAGGGCAGGTCTTTTAGTTTTTAAGAGAGGTAGGTGATAGAATTCTGGCGCGGCTGAAAAGATAAGTATGAAATATAAATGACCTTTATTTCAAGAATGTGGGGAGAGACACCCTGACCCTCAGGGGTCTGGCATTGTCTCCGGGGCTGGCATTCTCTCCATTGGACACGTGGTGTGCGGGCATACATGTAGCTTAGGTTTGGGGTGGTGCCTGAGGGGCATTAGTGATGCACAGGTAGCCCACTGGTATTCATTTCGCACCACAGGTAAATTCCTAGGGGCGGGGAAGATGACCTCATGATGAGCCTCTTGGTTCCGCCTCCAAGGCTTTACCGGCTACAGTGTCCGGGCCTAGGGCAAGATTCTTTCAGTAGGCAGCTAGAGGACGGTAGAAATCTGTGGCAGCTGGTGTCCACCAGGCCCACAGTGTCAGAGAGAGGCGAGCTGCCAGGTGTGGAGTGTGGGGCCTCTGGCAGAGCAACCCAATGTGGCTGTGGCTCTGTAAGGCGTGGCCTCCACC